GATGCAGGATACGACCGGGGTGCGTTGTGAACTTTCGGGCGTGGAAAATATCATGTATCACGCGAGCGGAACATTGTACCGTCTCTACTGTGCAAATTCCCGTTGCCACGCGTCGCCGGGAGACGAAAGTTGCGAGACTCCTCTCGTGTGTGTCGCATATCCGATCTCGTCGCTCCTTTAATTCGCGGCTCAATGAGGACGAAGCGTGATCGGCTGGGGCGCGCACGCGCTCCGCCCTAACGAGCGGCTTTAATTTCTGCCCTCTTTCCACGTCACTTGCCGTAGAGGAGGATCTCTCTCCGCCTGCGAGAACACACGATCCGACGGCGAGAAACTCGCGCTCTCGCCTCGGGTGATCCGGCTCGCAGGGCAAGTGGTAGCCGGCGGCGGCGCAAGTCGCGTTAAAGAGACCTCCTTTATTAGTTATTAGTCGTCGGCGCGTCATCGATGCCGCAGCCGTGTCGGATCGGTCGCTTTCCGTTACTCTCGTTACATCCGATTAAATGCCCCCGTTAACAGTCCGGAGAACTATCTCGCGAACTTACGCGCGGCTGGATCGACGACTCGCGCGTCGGCCTATGAGCGATCAGTTGATTTTCGCTGTCATCATTCGCCGGTTAATTACGTTCCAGGCTCGTCCTCACCGCGCGCGGCCATTATCGATTTCAAGTCCGGCGTACTTCTGGCGCCGCTGGCTTCCGATAAACGCGTCAATAAAACTAACTGACATTTATCCCTCGTAGGCACCCTCTATTTACAGTATTCAGCCTTTATTGCGTAACGATGGCTCGCGGTCGCAGGTGCGCGACGTCGATCAATCGCCGATAAATTTCCGTCAGTCGTCATACGATATTTAATAACGACTCCTCGCGCGGCTGCCACTCGCTCGGGAAGACGAAACTTTGTTGGCCGAGGGGGTTGGAGGCAGGAAACGCGGCACGCGCGCGACCGGAAAGAGGAAGAAGAAGTGGAGCCGGCTAGCCGGCGGAGGGAGGGATATCGCGGGCTTGTATACATAATCCCGCACCGTAAAAAGCGAAATGACCCAACTGTCGGCCCGATTCGCAACTCTCTTCGTAATCTCTCGGTCAAAGTTTCGGCCCGGCCGGGCGTATCGGGACGAGGAGGACGTGTATCCAAGAGCCATCCATCTCGAAAGGCAATAATGGCTCCTCGTGTCCTCGCCCCGACCGACCGGCCGAGCCCTTTCCTCCGGTAGCCTATCAACACGGCTATCTTCGGCCAATATTATCTTAGCGACGCTACACCACGTGTCTCGCATCCTTTCATCGCTCGCTCGTCGTCGTCGTCGTCGTCGTCGTCGTCGTCGTCGTCGTCGTCCGAGACGACCGCTGAGGAAATTGACCATCTAGCAGTAGACTGGCGCTTGTGAGCGGCGGCGAGTGCGCACCACGCCACGAAGATAACTGGATCGCGCGGTTAAAATTGCTCCGGCTAACGACTTTGCTGTACGGATTTCGCCCGCGAAAGTTGGAGCCGCCGCCGTTCAACTTTCGCGCGCGCGCGCGGTCGGTGCGACGCGTTGATGTCGTTTCAAATAATTAAAGGACCAGGTGTTCCTACTTGTCTATGGATTTATACGAGCTCAGCGGATCGTGTCGCTTCTCTCAACAGCATCCAAAGGAGAAAGAGAGTCGAGTAAGAGAGAGAGAGAGAGAGAGAGAGAGAGAGAGAGAGAGAGAGAGAGAGAGAGAGAGAGAGGTGGAAGCGAGAGCTCATCGGGCCCGCAGCCGGCGCGTGAGATTGGTTTGTCATCCGAGCGAAGCTATATCGTTTCCGGTGCGCTCGCTCGGCAGCCTTGACGTACGCCCACCTGGTCACTCGCGATCGTGAGACAATTCCGTGCGGATCGTCGGGCACGTGAAACGCTCGCCCGCCAGGATGCACGGAAGATTGGTCTCGCCGCAGGAAGAAGCGGGAAAGACGGCTGGCGGAGCGAGAGCGAGGGAGGAATGACAAAAAGTGGAAAGAAAACAGTAGGCGAGGTCGGGCAGGGAAGACGGGAAGAGAGACCGGCCGCTTGCCGGATTTAAGATCTCGACGGGTCGAGAGGATCGAGAGAAAACAACTCATGATACGCCAAGTTGAAAGAACAGGCAGGTAACGGGGAGAACAGAGAGAGAGAGAGAGAGAGAGTGAGGGCGATGCGGTAGAGAGTCGTAGGAGAAGGTCGCTTCAGCGGGCTGGAGAATCGAAAGATGAAAACACAGAATAGAGAGAAGGAGAGAGCACAGAGTCCGTGCTGGGGGTTGCGAGAGGGTTCCGCGGCGAGGAGATGATGCGACGGGGTTGCCCGGGGGTGACTCGGGGGCCATAATCCATACGTCCGCGGTGAAATAAATAATACACGAGCACCGGGGTCGAGCGGTTAGCTCTAGCGGATGTTGGTCAGAGGATGAACCCCTATCTCTCTCCCCGGTATCCGCGAGGAAAATACGGAATCCGAGTCTCTCCGCCGTGCGGTTCTCGGTTTCTCCACCCCCTCGGGCGCTCTCTGTGATCGCGGTGAGAGAGGGACCCCGTTCCGTACGAGAGCTTCTTGCCGCTCTTTGAACGATATTCCGCCTAACAGCGCGCACTCGATGTGCCGAGAACGTCCACGCGCGTGCCATGTGTGTGTGTGTGTTTTCGTATCGCAACATATAAACCGTGCACGAGAAGATGTGCGTCCTCGCAGAAAACGTGCCCCTTCTAATTGCACCGCTACGTCTGCCTCTACCTCCACTAATTTTTCGATTAGCTCGGAGTAAACACCGTTTCTCTCTCTCTTTCTCTCTCTCTCCCTCTCCCCCCTCTCTCCGCGATCAATGCTCAATCTATAGTATACATAAAATATATGCGACGGTCGTCTCTGCCAAGTGGAAAAGCGGGATCGTTGAAAAAAAGCGGATTGAATTGATCAAGAGGGGTGATGCGTTTCTTTTTCGTAAAGCGGAGGCTGGGAGCGACGACGGGAAGAGACGATTTACCCGTTTCCTCTAATTTATACGGAGGGGGTTGCAAATCACGAAGGATAGCGCGTCTTTGATCCGCGACAGTTTTCCACTCACAGGCAACCTTTACCAAGTGTTATACGCCGATTGTTTTCATCTTTTGAAATCTAATAATATAGGAGCCTAAAAGCAGATAAATAAAATGTGATAAGGAGATCAAATAAAAGAAAATTTCATTTTTCTGAGATGAAAACATAAGTAAACACACACAGACAAACACGTATATCTTGAAATATAAGCGGATAATGGAATACCCAATAGCGAAACTTCTAGGGTAGTGTGGAAAATCGCTATTGGATATTCTATTGTCTGAACAATATCGAGCAAATTTGTTTTTGTATTTTATCTCCTTTTGGGCTGTCTTATATTAGATTTTGCAGAATCGGCGTGTAGCATTTGGTAAATGTCACTTGTCAGAGTGCATGCTTATGCATGCATATACTTCAGAAGACACGAGGGAGATGAGTGCAAATTACAGGATTAATTCCGCGATAGCGGGGAAGTCATTTCTTACGCGAACGCGAATGGAGTAGATGGCGGAGTAGAGAAGTCGGCGCGGGGCAGAGGGGGGATTTAATCTTGCCCTTTGTCGTTCGATGAATCCGGGCGAAGCAGGATGAACCTTCGCAGTTGCATCTTCTGCCCCCTCTCCTCCACCCGTAGTCGTCCAGTCGTCATCTGCGCCCCCTGCGTCTTTGATCTCACATTCCGTCTTGACGTGGCCGGCCCCGACGGAATCCTCGGTGGTTTTCCTTACGAGTTATGAATCATCTTCCGCGCGTCCGCCGACGCGAATGTGCCACGTCGCCGCGTTCCCGCTGTCAAAGTTTAGCCGTGCAGATTTAACGGAGGCGCGGTCGACCGTCGGCTGCATAATGCAAGCCGTGATTCGTGAATAAATGCAGCGACGATGCAGCGGTCGCGATAAATATTTCGCTAAGCGGCCGACGCTCGCTTGACGCTCCTTCGACGCTTTGACGTCTCGGCGAGAAGAACGTTATCGTACGTGACGGATTACGCGAGAGTGCGAAGGTGCTGAGCGCGATCCTCGCGCGGCGGCCTGACTTCGCACTTGGCGCATCCTCGCGTGGAAATAACTGCGTCGTTCTCGCGAATCGATTATCATTTCTCAGCTGGTGGACCGTTCCGCTCGCTTAATCCCCGGAATTTCTCGTCGCAGCAATTAACGCGCGTCGCTGGATTAACAGTTCCAAGGAGGGAAAGAAACGAAAGAGAGAAAGAAGCACCTCGCGAAGGGTGGCTGGCTCGCCAAGGGGACGAAGGATCGAGGATTAATTATTAATGTCTCACGAGAGCGAGAGAAGCTCTCCTTCGCTCGAGTGACCGCAACGTTTCTCCGCGTCTGAGAGAGAGAGAGAGAGAGAGAGAGAGAGAGAGAGAGAGAGAGAGAGACTCCGTTAAGCATTTAGACTTGGACTCGCGTTAAAAGCATCTTACTGCTGTACGCTGCTGATCCGTTTCTTTTGACGCCAGCTCCGAGATTTATCGGCGCTCTCTAAGGACGAGACGTCCAATGGATGCCGCGCCGTGAGGGGGGGGGAGGATATTCGCGCCGCCTTCTTTCCACTCCTTAAGTAATCGAGAGATGCTCTCGACGCGATAATTTATTTCAATTCCCCTTCAAAGCTACGGCAAGATCAAACGGGACGGGCGGCGCGATTAGCGCTCGCGAAGTAACAGCAAACTGTCTGGCTTAATTTTACTTGACGGTAGATTATTGCCTCGCGACGACGACGACGACGACGACGACATCGTTCTCGTTCGCCATCTCGCGCGCCGAAAACGGCATAATTAACGCCGCGTTGTCGCGTGATTGAACACTCCATGCGCGCGGCTCGCGACGAGAGTAGAATATTTTATTTATGTACATGTGTGTGTATATATAGAAACAGAGAGAAAGAGAAAAACCATTGTGAGAACCATTTACATGTCACTCTCGAATGTGCTGTATTTGTTGTGTTGCAGAGGGGTAGCGACGAGCTTCTGTCGCAAAGCGGAGCAGTCAGCAATGGTGCTTCAATGAGTCCTCAACCTCATCACGCGGCCGACAACAACAATGACGCCAAGAAGGTGAGTGCTTTTAATCGGATAAGATACTGCGAGCCGGGGCTCGATAGTCGTCGGCGGTGAATTTTAAGTGTCTCCTAGTTCGCGGCAGCGTTTGCGGCCATCTCTAATCCGGACGGATCCGGAAAGGGGTCGGCTTGGTCTCGCGCTGTTATCGCGGAGAATCTGGCCATTGTTTCTTTCTTCTATTTACTTTACCATCCGCGGTACACATACATATATATCCGGACATACATTGTTGCTCAACGCGCCACATTTATATCGCCACGGAATATGCATTCGCGGCTTCGTTTTTTTACGCGTCCACTCCCCCTCCTCCGCTGAGAAACTGCCGCGTCTCGATCTCTCGGCAGCCGCGGTAATTCACGCGAGGCAGGACGAAACGAAATACAAGGAACGCCGATAACTTCCTTTCCGGTTCGGTCCGTCCGTTCCGCCGCCGGCGTGCACGGTCCACGCCGAGCTTTTTGGGATAGGGGTGGTGCGGCAGAGGGCAGGGGGGGACTTTTTCTCCCGGGCTACCGCAACCAGAACGTGCAACGAACCATAAATCATCGCATACCGAAGAGAAATTCGTATGCAGTGACCCCGATTGAAATACGTCCATTGAAATCTGATCGGTCGCTCTGGCGTTCCCCGAGGGCTTCTTGCGTTCCTTCCGGCTCGCGCTGCGACCAACGTGCGCGCAGCGCAGGCTCGTCGTCTATCGAAAGAATCGGCGGAAGGATCATTTCCTCGGATTCGGCTCGACGACGATGCCGATGATGGCATATCGCTTTCGCGAACATCTTGCGGACATCTTGCGAGGCGAGAGTTATGCGATCTTTCTCTCTTGCGAAAAGAAACTTAATTTTTCACGGTTATTATCTTGCGCGTAACAGCTGCGTGTGTCGACGAGTGATATGACAAATATTAATTAATCTCGCATGTGTCGCGAGAAAATTGACGGCCGATGGACGAAGAGAGATTATCGGCCTCTCGGTGTAGCGTATCGCAGAAAAAATTAATTCCCGGCACGATCCTTCCGCGCGTTCCTTCGAGCGAATGAAAATTGCAACGAGGAGGATGTAGAGGTGAGAATGAGTGAGAGAGAGAGAGAGAGAGAGAGAGAGAGAGAGAGAGAGAGAGAGGGGGGGGAGAATAGCCATCCGGTAGCCTGACGATTATTAATCGATCTATTTACGCGATCAGCATCCTGTGGAAGTGCGGATTATTTCGCGAACGTCATTAAACGCTTTCTATTTGTGTGCCGCTGAAATTAATAGTCGATTCGGTTGTAAATTTCGCCGAAGTGGAGTATAAAAAGCGCCGATGAATTTCTCATGCACGTCGAAGTGCCTGCCGAGCGTGTCGAGACTATCTCGCTGGATTTCGAATTTGACAAGGAATTCCCCCCGTCCCCTCCCAAGGAAGCGATCACTCTTTAACCGTGACGTGTCCGACGTTCGCTCGGCGTGTGAATTTTTAGAATTCTCGGCCGAGAGATGAAAAAGTCCGCACCTGCGAGCGGGTTAAGAGGGGGATAAAAGGGTAACATTTGTTCCCGCGAGGGAGTGGAAAAAGCCGACGTAAGATACGACGTTTTAGCGAGGTAACGTACCTTAATTAATATTTTGCGCGCGCAGAGACGACAGCCGTTTTACGGCGCGAGAGAGCTCCGCCGCGCACGGCGAGAGAGCGGAGTAGGACGGGCGGTACTTTTCTCGCGCACCTGTTCTCGTCACGTATGCTCGATGTCGTCACACATGTCGTTTCGACGAGGACGCGAAAAAATGGTGAAATTTCCGGAGACGCGAACGTCAACAACGTCGACGGCATTAACGGCGGCGACGACGACGATGACGACGACGACGACGGCGACGACGACGACAACAACGAGGACGACGACGACGACAACGACGATGACGATGACGACAACGACGACGACGACGACGACGACGACGACGACGACGACGACGACGACGACGACGACGGCGTGTCCGAAAACCGCACGGCTCGCCAACATGTCCGGATCACTCGGCAGCGGCGGCAGCGGCGGCGGCGGCACGTGCATCGCCGGGTGTACAGAAAGTTTTCGGCCTCGTTCCACACTCGCCCCCGGCGTCGTTAATCATTTTCGCCGAAGCTGTGTAACATGGGGCAACGAGGCGAGGCGACCGTAAAGCCGCCGCCGCCGCGCGCGCGACACACGTGAAGCTTTCGCACGGAGCTTTCATTTTTCGTGTTATTTTACCGAAATTTCTATTTAACTGGGCCGACGAATCTGCGTCGCCGGGAGAAAAGGGAAAAATAGCGAGAAAAAAATGTCAATGCGTGGCGGTATTTGATTGATAGCTCGGTGGGACGCGGTACGTCTCGCCAGCCGGGACCCGTGTTTTGATCGGAAACGTATAATAATTCTTCCGCGTTTGCACGTGTTTCTGTAAATTAGAAAAATATCAAGTAATATTTCCTCTTTGCGCATAAATTCGTCCGCGATTACATTCGGCGCGGCACCGTTTGCAATAAATCGCGTTAAATCGACGTTGTTCGCCGCCGGACGACGCGTAACGTACGTGTCGCTTTATATTCCGCCCTTTCTCTTGTTCGACTTTGCCGTTATTTTTGATCGCGACAAACTGTGCCGTTTAAAAGTGGCCGTACGATCTGAAGATAATTTCGTAAAGATTAATAGCTTCGTTAAAATAACTGTCACGACGAAGGAGGCCCCCTTCGACCGTTCTGCTTTTTAACACAGCTTACTCGCTCTCTTAAAATATCCTTTGGCGGCGCCTTCGAGACGCGCGCGCACTTCGATTATCACGCGATCCAGATTATGAACAATAGCTCGCGAAAGATACCGTTCCGACTGTCCTTCCGAAAACGTCCATGTTCCGATTTGGGTCAAATTTTGCAGATGAATTCCTTTTGTATAAAAAAGGTGTAAAAGAGGATTTTTCGCGATCCAAGAGTAAAAAGCAATTTTTTGAACAATTTTTCATATTTTCTATATATATCGACGTCGCGATGACGTTTATCCCGATACATACGTTGCCACGGTTGCCATGTTCCTAATCTATCAGTTACTTGCGTTACGTTACACTTTCGTTCATTTTTTAACGTCACACAGATCAGTGACTTTTGGCCGGAACATGTGCCAGTGTCGAGATCATTGCAGAGAGGTGCGTTAATATATGCGGGAAGCTCCGAGAAAATGTTTAGAAATCTATTTACACTTCCTCTATCAAGATGAAAGCAGTTGTCAAGATTCGATCTAAATCGGAGCATCGGCGTGCTTCCGGAAGATTCATCATTGTCCCGTCGAGTAGCTGCGCATTAATCAATTCCGAGCGCAAGAGTCATCGCGCGTTCGCCCGGCTGAAACGTACGTACGCGACTCTTTCGAGCTCGTAACCATCAAATTACGGGCGGCGACGCGCCGTTGCGCGGAAACCGGCGCTTTGACGCGCAACACTCGCAGGAACGAAAATAATCAGCGGTATGGCCCGGCGGTGTGTCCTCTCACGACGCGCGCGTCACCACGAATGCTGCAGTACCTCGCCGAGAATGCGAGCGCATTATATACGTACAATGGTGCGAGGAATGTAACGCGAACGCGCGAGCGAGCGAGCGAGCGTGTGTTTCCCGTGGACACGTGCGTTCTCGCATTCTAGCGCGGCTCCGCGCTGCGACGCTAGGATATAGATAGAGGGAGGGGGTGGGAGTGAGAGAGAGAGAGAGAGAGAGAGAGAGAGAGAGAGAGAGAGAAATAGAGAATCCAGCTGGATATTCGGTGACAAAGCCAACCTTTCCGTTCGTACTTTTTACTTTGAAAGGAGCGTACGCGCTCTACTTTTTCGACGGTCTCGCGCGGCGACGGGGATACAACAGGGACGAAGACCCGGGGAATTATTAGCCGGGACTCACGCGCGGAATTGCGAAACACCGAGGGAAATATCGCGAACAGCTCTGCGCCGTGGCTGCGCGTGAGAAAAATGGCGACGCGCGTTACCGTGCGCGAGCGAAGACAAAGTCGCGACAAAGTTTTAGAACGAAGGCGGGCTGCTGCTGCTTGCTAGCTGAGGAACGACGAATCGTGCGTGATTGTAAGCGGATTACGTAACAACGAGTCCGGCGAGCGCTGAGTAATGAGTTTTAGGGTTGTTGCGAGCGCGGTTAATCGGGCCGTAACTATCGCGAAGAGGCTTTCGCCGAGGCGTTTTCGTAGGGCCGACGAGGTAATCGGGTCCGCGATATTTGCCGGTGCTGCTTTCCTAAACACCGTATAGCTCTCCGAGAGAGCCTCTCTCCGCCTGTCCTCCCCTCGTCGGCCGCGGAATTGCCCCTGCCAGAGCAATTTCGCGCCGATATATATTTCCGGACGACTCTGCCATAACACACGCACACATGCGCCCCTCCCTCCCTCTCTCTCTCTCTCTCTCTCTCTCTCTCTCTCTCTCTCTCTCTCTCTCTCTCTCTCTCTCTCTCTCTCTCTCTCTCTCTCTCTCTCTCTCTCTCTCTCTCTCTCTCTCTCTCTCTCTCTCTCTCATCTTTCTCTCTCTTGGTTAATATAAATTGGTACTCGGGAAAAAGGTCTGGAGGGTGCGATTTATCAGAACGGGAATCGAACTCATCGCCCTCTCCCGCTGCGCCGCGAAATCTGTTAAGAGCAAGAAAAGTCGCTTCCTCTCCTCGTCGACGGAGGAAAAAAGACAGAGGGGGATGGCGACTCGCCCCGCAGAAACGGCGCAGGCAGCGTCTCTTTACAGGTCCGGCGCTGTGTTTTCATCTCGCTTTCCCCCTCGTAACTCAGGCGCTAGCCGACGTAGATCATCCGCTCGCTATCATTGCGAGCGTGTGATACAGCAGGTGCTCTTTTGCTTCAACGCCTACTCTTGCTTTCTTTCTCTCTCCTCCTCCCCCCCCCCCTCTCTATCTATCTCTCTTTCAGCAGTTCTCCGTGTCTCTCCCATTCTCTCTGTTTCTCTCTCTCTCTCTCTCTCTCTCTCTCTCTCTCTCTCTCT